AATAAATAAATCAAAAGTACTATAGCCTTGTAGCAGCTGGGACAAATGGCATAGGAGTTTGAAGAGGGCAAGAGCTGGTATGACCAAAACAAAGTGGCCAGAGGTGCTTCCAACTTTTACCAATTTAGTCAGTTTCCCACTACGTTTACAGAACACAGCTTATTTCCACACAGGTAGAGGTCTACTAGAGCATAAACCTTGCCTGCAGGGCTCAGCTTGCTTCTCTGCAACAGCTTTCTTGTGTATATTTTATATTGTAGCTTGTGTATTGGCCATATGTTGCTAGCCACTCTGAGGTCACTTTTATATGGAAAACGGGTACATGCAGACATGACATTAAGTTTAGTACTTTTGCTAGCTGTATTTTGTACAGTGTTCTGTTGTTGTTTTGTTGGTTTGTTTTTTGCCCTCTTCTCTTTTTGGGGTGGGAGACTATTTGAGTGGAAACTAGGGGTTGATTGTTGCTACCTCAAACTGACTTTCCTGGTCTCCTTTGCTCAAGTGCAGTTTTACATTCATATGATTTATTTTTGTCTGTGGGTAGAAGAGACACAAGACTAGCCAATGCGTCAAGGGAGTATTGTGGCATCTTAACAAATGTATTAAGGCATAGGTTGCCATGGGCTGGAGTCCATTTCATCAGATGCATAAAGTGTTATCTTGATTAAGATAGCTGATTTGTAGTTCACAAGAAACCTCTTTTTTTGTAACGCCAGTGGTATAGCTCCTTGGTGAAGCCCGTGAAAATCTGAACATTCTTCCAAAGACTTTGAAAAAGACAAAAGAAACATTAATTCTTTGTTAAGAAAAAGCACACACATACTCACACCACAGTAGGATATGATTAACTGCATGCAAGTGGCCGCTGTGTTTGTCCTTGTTTAATACCTTGAACAAATCATTTCATGCAAATTGCTCAGTTTCTTTGGGTTGACTGATAGCTGCCCCCATTAATTTATAGTACAGTTTTAGGATAAAATTAGAGATACAACTTTTTTCTATCATTCAGAATCTCTCTCTGTGTGTGTCTGTGTGTGTGTGTTTTTTTTCCAAAAACTTTTTTAGCTGAAATATTTCATAATGTCTTAGTTGTGTAGGCAATCTGGAATTTGTTTCTCTGTACCCACGTGTAATGTGAACCATGACAGAGTAGGTAAGCTAATGATTGCTTTGTTTTGCTTTGCTTTGCTTAGTTTTGTTTTGGCAAGGGAAATTGAAAAGTAACTTGGGATTTATTTCTCACTTTCTGACATACTTTGTACATCTCCCTGGTATCTTGAGGAACGCTAGTAACTCCCATTTATTGTATTTCTTTTACCCCATGCATCCATCACAGGGCTGCTTTCTCTACCTGTACATCCATCTTTTTCAGTTTCTACTGAAGATATTGTTTAGATTAGAGAGGAAAGAATACATTGTAAAGAAGCTTCTGAGTGGCTCTGCCAACAGCCAGAGAAACACAGAGGAGTACAATGTATTGTCATTACAGAACATCTGGAGAGGAATGCTGTGGAAACGAAAGGCTGTGACTTAAACTGGGATTTTTTAGGGTTATGAAATCATCAGGATTGGTGTGAAATGCCACCATTTTTAAATGACAGGTTTGCCAGGTACTTCAATGGGCTTAACCTCAGGCCCTATTGGAGTATATTAAAATCAAGGTACAGCAGTAAATCCTAAACTACCAAAAAAAAGTCCCAACATGCTGTATATATTCACACTCAGATCAGCAAGTGTCCTAATCTCCTCTTTATGTTACAGACTTGAATCACCCACACGCTCTTTGGTGATGGAGGCCCCCAAGGGAGTCGAAATCAATGCCGAGGCCGGCAACTTAGAAGCCACCTGTCGAACAGAGCTCAAGCTGGAATCCAAAGATGGAGAGGCAAGTAGAAAGTTAAATTAGTCTCAAAGCTCAAATCAAAAAGCTGAGGTCTGGGTGCTTCCTCCAAGGCCTTATAGTGTTCAATTGTTGTTGCTTGGCACCGCTGTTTTTGGAAACTCTAAAGAGTTCTTTAAAAAAAGAAAAGAAAAAGACAGGGTGATGATATTCACGAAATAAGTCCATTTAGTACTGCAGTTAAAACCCAGTGTGGAAGGTTTAGCCAGTATGTTAGAGCTGCCTTTAAGGATGCCAGACCCCACTGTATGCAAACGGCACCTCTTTTGTACAGAGCTGCACGATGATTCATTAGTTTTAAAATGCTGGGATAATAGCACTGGTTGCAGGAAACAGATTTATGCAGCTGTAAAAGTGTGCAGTACCACTAAATTCTCTTTTCTCTTGTCACTTTAAACTGAGATTTACTTGACTAGCCTAATTAAATCTTATATCATCCATTTTTGCAAGGAGGAGAGAGCTTAACTCACCTGTATTGATCCGTAAAGCCAAGCTTCACTTCTCTATCAGGAGAGAAGGAACATGGCCAAACAAACTCTTCAGGCTGTTGAAGATCGTTAAGCGTCTGAGATGATAGACCAGCCTTGTCTCTGTAGTAAACCTCTGCGGGAATTACTCATTAAGGGCCTTGTTTTCTTTAATAAATCAACTAAATATTTCATAAAGAGTTGAAGAATAACTTGATCTGGACCTTTTTTTCAAATTTAGCTTCCATACGAAACTGATTTTTTTTGTGGGGGGGGAGGAGAGGGATCCATTATCATTTTATAATTAAGTAGAAAGTTAGTTCTCTATGACAACCTGTGAAGCTGGTGGCAGAGCCAAGTTATGGAAAAGTTCATTCTAAGCTACGATGGGGAACATGAGACTTTTCAGACACTGTTGGACAACCGAGCCAGTGGTGAAAGACGGGAGATGCAAGCCAAGAACATCTTGAGCAGGGCTGGACAATGCCTGGTGTTGCTAGATATTGCTGGGTTGCACCTCCCATTGGTGCTAGAACCATAGCCGGCAGTAAAGAAGGATGGGAGCTGCAGTGTAACAGCTCTGCAGGACGGTGCATTGCTCACTGCTGCCCTTGTGGGGACTCGAAGAAACACGTTCATTGTTCTAAGCAGTTTTTGCTAAATATGGTCATTGTTACTCCCTTCCACCCATTGAACCAACAGCACCTGTAGCTCTGGAATGATTCACCCACTCCAAGCACTGCATGCTGATTTTCCCCTAGTGATACCAGCTACCAAGAGATTCAAATGCCTTGAAAGTAGCAGAGGACTTTCTAAAGTTCATCCCTGCTTGTCCTTTTGTGCCAGTTCAAACCAATAGCACAGTCTTTTTTCTCTTTAGGTCAACTGGGTATTTCTCCCTCCTTCCCTTCCTCCCTCCCTTCAACACAATCTGTGATGAACATGGAACCCAGCCACTGTCTGAGAAAGACTCGCCTTCCCGTTCCCTTCCTATTGTTTTCTTTTTCCCAACACAGGATCTCCTCCGTTCATTCTTCCCTCCACCTTTCCCCTAGGCACCTTACCCCAGTATCTATTCACAGGCTGGTTTGGTATGTCATATAGAAGTGTTCAGATTAACAAGTGTATACCTGACAGCTAGTTTCTTCCTTATTTATAAAATACAAAACAAAACAGAAACCTTTGTTTTCCTTTTTTTTTTCTTTTTTGCTTAGGGCCTTTGTGTATTCTGTGATAAACTTCACAGTCAATTTCTGTTGAAACTTTTAAATCTCAGGACTGAAAATAGCACACCTCGCGCTAATTGCTTTTTCTCTTCCTTCTTCAGATAACGCTGGAGGCTGCCAATATCAAACTACCTAGATTGCCCCAGGGATCCTACTCCCCTTCTGGATCCAGGCAAAAAACCTACGAGCTGTGTGTTTGTCCCAACGGGAGGTTGTTCCTGACTCAGGCGGGCTCTAGTTCCACTTGCCAGATAAACACAAGTGTCTGCCTTTGAGAGAGACCATTTTCGGCAGGCAAAGCTGGCAGCCCGGGGCCCCTTTCCGGCCTCCCAGATCGCAGCTGCCGACTATTTTTACCTGAACACAGGAAGCCTATCAAAGACTTGTGTGCGTGTGTATGTGCGCGTGCACTGAGTGCGTGCGTGTGTGTTTGTGTGAATATATAAATATATAGATATATATATATAGATATATATAGATATATATAGATATATATATATACTTTGTGTAAAATGCAGTTTCAGTACAAGAAATCCCAGGGTGACCCTCTTTGTGTAGCATTCGTTGCTCCCACATTCAAATTTGTACAAATTGGATCTCGGTCCTTCCAAGGGTACTTAAACACTGTCATAGCAAGCCTCCATAACATAAGAAAATACTTTCAAGCCAGTCCAAATTTCGTTAAAAGGCACCTGACATTTTATCTACATGGGTGTAAAGGAGAAGCTGTGACATGAGATTAATCTGTGTCTAATCTGCTATACATGCAGGCAACATGGTTGTGGCTTCTCACTGTGGCTGTCTCAAATAGATAGGCATGAAATTGTCACAGACTCTGGTGTGCATATATATATCCAGGTAAAATGTCATGATGTAGCCACATGGAGAACAAAAAGCAGCACAACCTGTAGCAACCCTTCTCAGCACAGGTTTGAAAGAAAGAAAGAAAGAAAGAAAGAAAGAAAGAAAGAAAGAAAGAAAGAAAGAAAGAAAGAAAGAAAGAAAGAAAGAAAGAAAGAAAGAAAGAAAGAAAGAAAGAATCCAGGGTAACCAGATAATGAATGGAATTATTCAGAAATCAATCAACCAATTCCCACCCACCCCCAAATCAGGATTGTTCACCAGTTCAACAAGCAGTTGAATTAAGAGCTAGCGAATTTTCCCTGATACAACACCTCTGAGCCCAAAGTTTCAAAAATATTCAAATAATAGAATATGACAGTTGTTCTAACCACTGCCAGGGATTCTCCTCCTTCTAGTGTCCCAACTTGCACTTCAAGAACCACCAGTGTGATGTGTATGAATGTTATTTCCTCATAAAAACAAAGCATAACCTGCTAGACAAGCATCTCTGATTATTATCGTGCCATGAAAATCTATCATGTAAAATGGATTTTACTGCTTAAGGAGCAGCAATACACCTGTAGTTAAATTACACATCACTAATTTCTTTTAATTAAACGTTCAGATTCCAAGAGTAAATCAGTCCATAACGCTTATTCTGATTTCAGTAGCTGATATAGAAGAGAGAGAAAAGGCCCCATGAAAACACTCATCAGCAGAAAAAAGGGGGGGGGGAGAGTTGAGTGGATGATGAAGGGGGAGTGGTGCTGTGCAGTTAGGCACTTCCTTGTTGTCTTCACTGTCTTCCCAGCTCTGCCTGTGACCTCTCTGTGTCCAGCAGTGGTTAGAAGGGAACACTGTCTCTGCTCATGGGGAAGTTTCTAACCAACTGGAATGCCTGCACAATTTGGGCTTTTCATAACACTGAATGATAACATTCTCCCTTAAAGACTTAGCTCAGTCTGTAGAACAAGGACGGCAGGGTCCTGAAAACAGGGATGCCTTGGGGGCAGGGCCAGCAGAGTAGTCTTGTTCTCCCTTATCAGCATGGGAAATGAGACTCCATCTGCATTTATGCGCAAAGAGTGGATCATATCAGTGGAAGATGAGAATAACAGTGTTTTCTTGTTTTGGTGATCTATAGAGTCTGTGCAGGATCTCATATACAGCAGATGATGACCAAACTGACCATTGCATGGAGATAAACACATTTTCTCAGCCAGCATACCCATGGGATTCTGGCAGCATCCATCTAAAAGAGCAACTTTTCCAAATCCCGTATTTCTCCCAGAGTTCCTCACTCTCCAGTGCCAATCACTACCAAGTCTCCTTTTAAGCAAAAATGTGTTTACCATTTCAACAAGATGTTGGTAAACTTCATACATAAAAGTAGGGAAATGATATATTGAGGAAGAACCTTGTATTGACTGTCTTCTACAGTTTCTATCAAACGTGCAGTATTTCAATAGAGGTGCCTGTGCAAATACCATCGGATGGTATAGATTTGACACCATCAAACAATAGAGGGGACCCTAAAAAGAAGTACCAAATTGCTCCTAATGTCAGCAGAACTCAGTTGTTCACCAAAGGTCATGATGTTTCCTAATACAAAAAGAATGGAAAATCAGCAGAGGTGGTGGCCAGTTCATCTTTTTCAGTTAATATTTTGGACTCTTAGACCAGAAATAGACTGTAAAGGTAGGCTATGATGGGAATCAGGAAATGCTTAACTAATGTGAACATCCAAGTGTAAAAGCACTTAAATTTCTTTCACCTCTAGGATTATGCAAATTAGCTTGCTTTGCTTGGTGATTGGGCTTCCAGACATAAGCATGAGATTCCTCCAAGTCAAATTTGATAAACAGGGAAAGGCTGCCACAGTCAAAGTCTCTGTAAAATTACTGTGCTTTCAGTTCTAATTCAGGGCTGTTGTTAGCAACTCTTTCTGGCCTTAGTTTCTGAAAAAAAAAAATCCCCAAAATCACAATAGAAAGATGTATGAGCTGGGTAGCAATATGTCTGATGATGGAGGAAATTTAAAATATAAAAGACGGTAATGTCAACTTTGGACTTTCCTTGGACTAGAAAGACGAAATACACATTTGAAGGAAATAAATCAATAAAAAAATAAATAAATTTGTCATTAGAAATGCTATTGAGGAACCACAGAAAGTCAATGTTATAAATTGTGGGCACTTCAGATATCAGAGATGCTTATTTTGAAGCAGACATTTTGATTGATTATGACAAATGAACTGAAAAACAATACAAGTTTCCTTCAAAACTGAGCCTGAGATAGTATTCCCTACAGACATTCCAGTTGGGTGGCCATGTTAGTCTGTTGGAAAAAACAAAGCATTATGTGGCATTTACTGGAGAAGGGTACCAGTACATTGCAGTAGATTTTGCTGTGGGACGTTCTGCTGTATTCCTGTACAGGAATTATCTGTGAGATGAAAGTGATTACTACATCAAAGACATAGTGTCTGTGAGAAAGGCATAAGATTTTATACTGTCACTTCTGCCATCCATAAGAAACATACAAATACTGTGAAACCTATATATGACCCCTAAGCTTCAGTACCAGGGATTGCTAATTACAGTTATAGCAACTTTAAAATGTAATTTGGTATATTTTTCAAGCCATTTTTGTGGGGGGTGGAATTCTTGTGGGCTAGAGAGCAGTAAGAAGCTGATAGCAAAAGGCATCAGTGGCAGTTTGGAAGGCACTCCCATTGATTTTCAATGGAATTTGGATTAAGCCATTTCTAAATATTGTACTTTGGTGCTTCGGTTTCATGATAAAGGAAGCTTGAAGAGACCAGCAAAGTGCACTTTTGGTGGACAGTAAAATGAACAGTTCCACATGACATTTACAGTGCAATCCTAGGTATGCTTATTCAGAAGTAAGTCTTCAAGTGATTATGTGAAGCTTACTTCCTCTTATGTAAGTTTAAGATTGCAGCCTTAGTGATACTGTTGGGACATCGGAGCATCTGCTAATTGAATGCCTCCTATCATTACTTTTTCTTTTTCTTTTTTTGAGCTGACACTTAAATGCGAGGGGGTCACCCAGGATAACCATTGTATTGGGACACAGGACTATACACCATCTCTGTTCAAAGAGGGAGACGTGCCTATGCCTTAAGTCAATGCACTCAGCAAGGAGAAGCACATCATATTTACCTTATTATTCAAACTTTTCTTTTCCATTTGGAGTGTTATGCAGAAGGTTCGAGAATATGATGGGTGCAGTGTTTGGGAGATGGATGATGTCTTATGAACTGGGAGCTGACTAGAAATTCACAAAGACTCTAGAGCACCTGAAGAAATGCTGATCTCTCTCTCTCTCTCTCTCTGGTCTTGGCCTGAATACTTGAACTCATTCTGGAGGTCCAGCTTCGAATCTTCAGAGGCATTTGTGTTCTGTGGTAATTTTGTTTTATTCATTTCATACAGAACTTTGATCACATGTAAGGGCCATTTCATTAATGAATATTTGTTAATGTGCACAAGATGATAAATGAGCTTGACACTGAAAAAAAATACACATAATACAATGTCACAGAGTTGTTTGATCTTTTCTCCCTTCCCCTAATAATTTTGCTGATAATGAAGAAAAGACAATGAAGCTAGGCTTCTTGAGATAAACCTTTGAGGAGTTAATGTTTGTTGGCTTGTTTGTACCTGAAGGGCTTCTCTTTCTTACAGCTCATTTTTTATGTCAATCTTTCTCCTGATCTTTAAAGTTAAGTATCTCATTAATTATCATTGTCTGCATTCAAGGATGATTATGCTGAGAGAAGAGATGGAATGTTGAAATTATCCTATCAAGTTACTTCATCAAATATCTTTTTGTAAATTTGTTTGATTGCTGGTCCACGTTTAACTTATAGCATGAGAGATTTTTGTAATTTATCTCTAAATTCAACAGCAGCTTCCATTTCACTAGAAAAGATGGTTAGTAATGGTTTGAACTCTTTTCCGTTGCCAGATGCGCGCTTTGCTCCAAACCCTTTTTCTTTTAAAAATAGTCATGTAGAAATTGACACTTGTGGAATTACAGATAATAAACGCTTCCCTTCTCCTTGGCCAAGTCTTTATTATCTGGCAAAAGTCAAGCATGAATGTTACACTCTGCTCGAATCTAGCTTAGGCCTTATGCAATATGTAACCTGTGTTGGCTTTGGAATTTTACTATGTTTGTTAGGTTTACCAACATTGTTAACAGCAATAGTTTGGTGTGGCAGGAAGCCATGGTTATCCAAACTGAGTTAGATGCATAGATTATAATGATCACAGATGTTACAGGCACTTAAGTCTCAGTTTGATCCTCCGATCCCTGAAAAATCTCACTTCAAAGTCAGAGACAGACATCCAGTCAAGGAATAGAGGATCTAATCTGAAATCTCCTTCCCGGCCACTGTGGAAAGAGCTATGCCTCTCATTTCTCCAGAGTCAGGGTGACAAGAAAGAAGGGTCAGGTGTGATGTGGTCAGAGTATGGCAGGCTCTGGATCTGCAGGATCCAAAGCCCCCTTCCTTCCAGCCCTTAAGGACCACTGCAACAAAATCAGGAAACAGATCAGTCCTCAAGC